CTTTAGTAGTCATTCTGTTACTAACTTAAGGATTATTTGAATTTATCATAAATGTATATATTGACAGCCATTATTAATTAGATGTCACATCTTTCACAACTAGTTTGTCTTTATTATAAATTGTTATGAGCACCTTAATGGATTATAGAATATGCTATAAAAATTTTACTCTCTAATTTTAAAAAGGCAAATTACAAAATGTCAAAATACTCTTTTTTTTAACAAGAGTATCCCATTCAGCTTCTTTTCAATAATTTCCAATAGGCAATAAACCCTAAGTTTTACTCAACTACACTGATGCAAAATGTACATCAGATTTGCTGAATCACTAAATTAAACATATGCAAATATATGGAAGCACAGGTGAAATAAAGTAAGACGGTAAATACATATATGCACACACAAATATACAACTGCCCAGCTTTTTCCAAGTCCTATTTCTGATGATGTAGATAAATGTAAGAATGGAAGATCTGGGTCTTTTGCTTGCTTCTAAGTTTGGTTCACTTTCCAATTATATCTGTTTAGGATGCAGAAAAATGTATATAGGCAGTATGTTTTATAGGCCCCAATCTGATACCATCAGTAACTTGAGAAAGTAAACTTAATTGTGACACTTTTCTCCAACTCTACATTTTCCATATAAACACTAACATTCCAAGCAACCTTATGGAACTGCCAAATCTTAAAATGCATTCTACATCAAGGGAAGATTCAATTTGGTTCCATACAATTACACAAGCCAGTTAATTTCACTGTATCCTAATATTCTGAAAACTGGTCTTCTGAATATTTTATCTGAAGTAAATTTAACAAATATTTGAAAAATACTGCATTATATACACAAAATAAAAATATAAAGTGCAAACAGAGTAAGTCAATTACCTTGAAAACCCAGTTATTCAAGATATCAGGGTAGAATTTAAGAATGACAAATACCAGGCAGGTTAGTTTATAAGGAGCAATCTAATAAATGCTAATATTTGAATGTTGACTATATTCCATGCACCCTAAGTGTTTTTATTTTATTCTTTGACTTAATCCTCTCAACAATTCTATAGGCAAGGTGATAACATCTTTTTTTTTTTTGAAGATGAAAAACCTTAAGTTTACTGAGGTTAAACAGCTTGCCAAGGATTCAAAAAGCTAGTTAAGAAGCAGCCTTTTTTCAGAATCAAACTGCCTATTTAGTAGCTACACCAAAAAGAGCAGAAAGAGAGAAACCAAACTTGTACGACCTACCACAATGCCTAATCTCAATAAGATCTCACTTAACTGATTTTTAAAAATTTTTTAAAGATTAATTTATTTATTTGAGAGGCAGGGGCAGAGGGCGAGGGAGAGAAGCTCCCTCTAGAGGAGGAGCCTGATGGGGTTTGATTCCAGGATTCTGAGATCATGACCTGAGCTGAAATCAAGAGTCAGATGCTCAACCAACTGAGCTAGCCAGGTGCTCCGCAACTCATTTTTTTTTTTTAAAGATTTTATTTATTTATTTGACAGACAGAGATCACAAGTAGGCAGGGAGGCAGTCAGAGAGAGAGGAGGAAGCAGGCTCCCCACCAAGCAGAGAGCCCGATGTGGGGCTCGATCCCAGGACCCTGAAATCATGACCTGAGCCGAAGGCAGAGGCTTAACCCACTGAGCCACCCAGGCGCCCCACTCATTTTTTTTAAAGTAATTTTTTTTTCCTCAGTTCACATTCATATATCTTTACCCAAAGGGTTACGTATCCCTCTTCTGGGCAACCCCAGATTACCTCACGCAGATGTCTATCATAAACACGGGGCTGTCCTATGAGCAACTATTTCCTTCATGTCTCTCATCATAATGCTGTAAGCTCCTTGAAACCAGGACTCTGCCTTACTCATGTTTTATGTCCCCAAATGCCTAACAAGTGCCGAAATACAGAAAGTACTATAAGTGCTATTAAAGGTTCAATATAATATTAGATCTTTTTTATCATCTTCTAACATCCATCTTCAGATAAAACCTTCATGAAAACGGAAAGTCGCAGAATCCTAGATTCAAAAAGAAACTGACAAAGTTCAAGAAGTCTTTACCTTCTCCTTCCTTGATACCATATCCCTGCTAGTATTTTCTACCTTTCAAGAAAAATGGTGGAAAGCAAGTGAGATAAATGTAATCATCTATGAATTAATTACTGCCATCATAAAGAAATATGGCTGAAACTAATGTAACATTGTGCGTTAACTCTACTTCAATAAAAAAAAAAGAAATACAGAATTTCTGACTCATGAGCTTTAAATAAATGAGATTTCTGAAGTCACATGATATTGTAAATCTAGTGCCCTTGACCTTTATACCCTGGGATTTCTTAGGCTTAGAAAACAAAAAAGAAAAAAACCTGACAGTTTATAAATGTTTTAAAAGTTCAGTTCTTCAAATAAGACAGTGTACACCCTCAAAACAACATAAATGATGTCATTTTTAACAGGTTTCAGAATATCAAGTCTACCAGTTGCAAGGATTTTTTTTTTAAGCAAATGAACATGATATAAAAATTACCTTGCACTAATAGATGATACTGCAGGTGTTAAGCATAGCTAAGGTCGTGCTAAATTTACATAAGCCTTACATCAAAAACAGCAGCAGAAAAAAAAAGATATCCATACATGTTGAACAAGCATTCTGATTAACAAATAATCAGATAACCATCTCTCTAAAGCCTAAAAATCTTTTCAATTCCAGAACTGACTACAATAGTACACACAAAATCTTATCAGTAGTACTATGAATATCACATCAACAAACATGTTACATTAAGAAAATTCTACTTTCATTCTTACTAAGCATCTGTAAGTCAGGGCAACTGTGCCCTGCTCAAAGACTATCTAAAACAGAGAGAGGTTGATGGAAAAAAACTTATCATCAGGGTTCACAAATTAGGGTGTTATTAACACTAGATTCCAGAAAAGGAAGCTCTTTAAAAGAACAGTGCACACAGTAACACAAAGCTAGTGCCCGTCTCTACAATTACAAGGAGAACTGACTAAATACTTCAGTTTACACCTGCTCTAAATCACAGTCCATGTGCCTATGTTACTTGAATTTTTAGGACCTAAAATAAAAATATCAAGCCCCTCCAAAAGGACACTACTAAAGAGGTTTGAAAAAAAAAAAAACAAAACCAAAAACAAGTAACTCCTTTCTTCTTCCACATGAAAACCAATGCATTCCTCCAAAAGTAATCAACACTTCACTTGTATAAGCACTATGAAATTATTATTCAAATTCTATATCCTTGAATATCTGTACACATCACCTAGTTTCAGCCTTCTATAAGGCTTTCCCCAGCTAGATAAGCCTTTATTAGAAATACAAATAATATTCACCGGGTCCTTAACACAATCTAAATCAGGCTACTAAGCTGTTAACATCCCCTCCAACTTTGCTCCCACCCAACTGTAATCCACAATCTTCCCTAATGAAAAAGAACAGTACACAAATTCAACCTAGAATCTTCCATCAATTTAAAAAGGTAACAGCATTAAGAATTGTGTTGTGGAACCAAACAGCTGGGGAGTGGAGTTACAGAAACAGTGTAGATTAGATAATGAGCCGTTTATCAGACTATACTCTGTAAATCAGAAACTTTCATTACAATCCTTGAAACGTGGTGGTGAACTGGTAGAGGAAATTCTCAGCCTATAAGGGGCAGTCAATCTCCTGAAAACTCTGCCTCTCTCATAACCTACTACCCTGACACACCTCCCGGAACAGGACACTCTTTCTTCTAAACCACACCATCCCAGAAATCTGCAGGCGTCTCTCCTTTTAATAAATACTGATAAAACTTCTGGTTTCATTTACGATTTCATTAAACACAGATCCAACAGCAGCCTTAGGTACCAGTACAAATGCCTTGGGTAAACCAATCTTTATGCAAGCGTTAAGTTTTTGCTACTCCCCTTCCTCACCAAGTACGAGTCTTAGAAATTAATAACTTCCTGCAATATTTCAGTATTACCAGAAGGCAGGCGGAGCTAATGCCCAAAGACTGGTGACCCTACTTTCTCAAATCATCACCTTCCATTAATGATAACTTATGTCCATCTCTCTTCCCTGAGAGATCAGTTGTGTTTTTTTTTTTTTTTTTACACGATCCTTAACAAGTGGACTTCTGGGTTCCGACCCCCAGGAACAGAATTTACAAAGAGACTGACTCCCAAATGTGACAGGAAAACTGTAACATAAAACGAGGGAAGAAAGACAGGGAAGAGGCGTGGGGTTTGTTTTGATCAGAACAGCCGAAACACAGTGGATGCAATCAGGTATTTAACACATCAATCGAAGTCCTGAGGACAAACGGGGTTCGCAAAAATAAACATGGACAGTGTGAGAAACGTCCCACAAACTGGAAGGCAGCGATGATCTCAATGCAACGCGACCCAGGGGCTGCCAGAGCAGAACCGGGCCGGACGACCGTAGAAAACTGACTGTAGGGGATGCGGCAGGCTGGGCTAACATGGTGCCTGCCACAGGGTGGAAGGCGATGAGGGCTTGGGAGCCAAAGGTTCCATCCCGTCGGTCTCTGGTCCCTAAAGGTATCCGGGGTCAGAGCTCAAGTTTCACCGGGGGAAAAAGGGGGCAGCAAACATGCAGCCCGGCACCTTCGCCCCAGCCCCTAAGCCCGCGCCCTCGGCTTTCCCGGCGAAACAGCGCGGAGGTAACGGTCCCCGGAGCAAACACTGGGGAGCTCCCCGCGCACCCAGCACTCGGCGTCGGGCAACAGCGCGGCGAGCGGGGGAGGGGAGCGGGCGGCCGGCGCGGCACTCGCCGGCCCCGGCCCTTCCCCGGCCTCGCCCCGGGCGCGGCGAAAAAGTTTCCAGCCAAAGTCCGCAGTACCCGCTCGCGCAGCCAACCGCCGAGCACAACTGCCTCGTCGCCCCGGAGAGCGGCCCGCGCCGGCCGGCCGCGGCGCCGGGACCCTCGGTCGCGCCTCCCTCAGCCCGCGCCGGCTGCCGAGCTTCACCTACCACAGAGCCGGGAGAAGAGCAGCAGCGGGAAGAGCAGCAGCAGTAGCGGTGGTGGCGTCGGGGGCGGCAGCAGCAGTCCGGCCCCGGGGGGAAAAGCGGAGGAAAGTTGTGCTTTGCCGCCTCCGGGACACAGCGGGGCCGGCCCCGGGGTCCGCGCCATTCCCCACCCTCCCCCCGGCCCGCTCGCTCGCCCACCCCCCGGCTCCCCAGGCCCCGGCGCCTTAGGCTCTGGGCGGCGGCAGCAGCGGCCGCGGCGCGGCGGCGGCGGCGGCGGAAGGTCCGGCGCGCGGGTCCCCAACTCCCAGTTCTTGAGCCGTCGCCGCCGGCTGACACTCAGCCGAGCGCTCACGGCTGCCTCGACTCCGCCGTCGCCGACGCCACTGCCGAGGCTGAGGCGGGAGCCGCCCGCAGCCGCCGCCGCCGCCACTCCCCTCCCCCAGGCACCCGCCCGCCTCGAACTCCTGGGAACTCGGAACGCACCACCCCGCCCCGCACGGGAGGGGGAGAGGAAGCCGACCCTCAGAGTGGGCGCTGGGACTCGCCCTCCCTTCCTCCCTCCCCGCACAACTCCAGCTCCCGTCTGATCGCCGACTGCAAGCCGCGTCTCCTCCCACCCCGCCCTCCTACACACGCTCCTCCCCCTTAAAAAAAAAAAAAAAAATCTCTGCTCTCCACTTTGATAACGGGTTTCTCCCAAAGCAGAGCTTTCAAGAAGACAGGAAAATCTGGAATAGGTTAGTAGGCCCCGCCCCTTGTTCCTGCCCCGTCCCCGCCTCGTTCCCCCCTTCCCAGCATTTCCAATGGTCTAGCCCACTCCGCCCCTCGCGGGTCCACCGCGGCCCCGGCGCAGACGGAGGCGGAGGGCGGCGGGACAATCGTGCTGGTTGCTTTCCTCGCCCGGGCCGCGCTCTCCCTCTGGCGGGGAGCCGGGACAGGAGGGGTGAGGGGTGGGGGGAAGTGAGGGGGGGGCAGGCAGGATGGGGCTGCCCTTCCGTTGCCCACGCTAAAGGTCCCTGTCTAGGAGGCTGTACATAGCCTGCAGAACTAGTCATCTCCCTCCTCGCCGGGGACGCCGGGGGCTGAAAGGAGACACTTTCTCCTTCCTGCTTCTCGGGACAGCGGCGCTCTCCGAATCCCTCCCTTCTTTCCAGCTCCACTTCCCCCAGCCCTCCGAGGCTTGTTTGCACCAGGCGTTTTTCTTGCTCATTCTCCTGGGAGGGCGGCTTGGTGGAAGGGTCAGCGAAACCGAGCGAGAAGAGGGGCCCCGGAAGGTTTGCTTTCTCGCTCTTGCTTCTCCGGCCGCCGAGCTGTCCGCTGTCCTCGCCGGGCAACTGGCAACAGGAGGCCATGGATTTCTCCCATCCGAGCGCCTAGAGTGCGGTGGTGTTTTTCTTCGGTTTTGTTTCATTTGCATGTTCGCACGTGTAATTTTATTTTAATTGCCTGTTTTCCTCTGAACTGATCGCGGTAAAGCGACCTCGGGAAGTGTTAAGCATTTGCCCGTAAGAGGTCTGGGATCCCCCAGGACCCTCCCTCACCCCAGGTGGCTACGCGCCCTACCCTCCTCTTCCGCCCGCCACGCACAGCCGGGGTGGCCTGACCTTGAAGCCACTACCCCTGGCAGTTCTGCAGGGGCGAAGGACAGTTTGGACTGTCCCAAGGGGACTGGAGGCAGAGGACACACGTCCTCAGTCCTAACACCATTAATTTTATATGGGTCCTGGCATCCCAACCAAAAGCAAGAAATGTGCTCCCAATAAGAAGGAAAGTCGAACAAGGATTTAGCCGCCTGGCGCAGCTAAACTAATGCTTTCCTGCCGCCAAGATCACACCCCTTCCATCACTAGCTACCACCCCCCACCCCTCCACCCACTGGTTTACAGTGTTTTACTCGCCTGCAAAGCTATACACCATTCTACCCTGCCTACCGCTCTGTTTTCTTTCTCAACTTGCGCCTCCCATCCTGTCTCCCAGTGCTCGGTTTAGTACCTTTCTTCCTCCAGCCTCTCTTTCTTTCTCTTTCTCTCTCTCTGTCTCTCATCCAGCCTGTCTCCTGCAGCCACTCCTTTCCATCGCCTATCCTCAGGATGCGCTTATGAATAAACCTTGTCCTGCGTCTCTCCCGGAGATCCCCTGATGATGATCATAATTGACGAAATGTAGCTATTGTGACATTCCTCAGCTGTGCTGACACCACCGCTTCCCTTGAGAAAATTTCTTTTCCTATTTTCTCATTCTCTAAACCTAATTTCCCTGCTAAATTTACATAAAGCCCACTGTGCAGCGACTAGCTAATTATCTGTTTAGATAGCACTTCAACACGTTGTTGAGAGCCAGTTAAATGTTAAACAACCAAAATTTTAATATCGTTAGCCAATTTCATTCCCCTGGACTTCCCCTGATGGTTCCTGTTTCCAGAAAAAGTAATTTAGCCAGCATTTGAAAAGGTGCCAGAGGCTTAATATGGGGGGCTATTGTGCAATTGCTACAAGAGACCATGAGGGATTAGCAGGTTTAGTGTTTCCCAAATGGATGATATGGAGCTTTAAAAAAATATGTTTCCTCCATATTTTCAGAAGTTGGATTAGTGACATACTATGATTATATTCTTCTTTGACCTAAAGTGAAGTGAGAGCATGGAAGAGCAGTATTTATAGATATTATACAAGCATTAAAAGAACACTATCCTGGTATTTTATGTGCATTCAGACATTATGTCCTAATATTAATCATTTGTGTTGATATGGCATCTTTGGCCAGAGATGTCAAAGCACAGGCTTACTTCCCATGGAAGATAGCAATTACTATTATCCCTACTGGACAAGGGGAGGAACCTAGGCAGAAAGGTTAATTGAAAATACTACAAGCCACATGTGGTGGTTTTCCTGCCAGACCCAAGTTCTTGCCTTCTGCTGGGCACCACTAACCTCTCAAGATTCCTTTTAACATGAAAAACAAATTTACTGAGGTCACTCAAATTTCTACTTTCTAAGTGTCGAGTCTTAAATTACGTTGTTCTCAAATGAAGACATAGTCACCCCAGGCTTTCCTGTTGGAAATTATTACTAGCTACAGAATGAGATTTTATATGGTATAGTTCATTTTCAAGTCCCAGAATTACTGTTGACTTAAAAAAAAAAAAAAACACTTTATCATGAAAGTATTACTGTGTTTTATACCATTTTAGTTGTCTAACTTTACAGATAAGTTCACTTTTATTGTTTGAGTGACAGACTGGTTCAGGAATAATTATAGCTAACTTATTAATGTTTCTGGCACCATTAAATCCAAAGTATGCATGTATTTTCCAAGAAGAAAATTATCTGAACAAAAGGCAACATGATCCTACTGCCAACAATGATTTCATTGTTTTGGGTTAAGAGTACTGATGGTGTCCATCCGACTTTCTGCCTTAAAGACTATTGGCTAATTACTGAGGTTCATTAACTCAACTAAAAACCAAAGGTTGACATCTTAACAAAGAAGTGATTATGTACAGTACTGGGCATCTTACATTTACTCAAATAATCCAAATGATAGGTTTGAGACTATTATTAGAATTTCATAGCTGACTCTGAAACAAAGAAAGTATTTTATAGTGAAGGTGGGCCATTATGTACTCAGCTCATTCCCCTTACCATCAGCAAATTTTTATAACCTGCTGCGTGAAGAAGTATAGCTTTTCCCTCAGTGGAAGAGATGAGCAATGTTTTGTGGAATGTTTGAACTTGGTAGTATATTTGATAATAAGCTGATGTCACTCTACTAGAATTATAGTCTTCTAAAGCAGAACTATGCAAATACTTAAAATCTAACTGCAAACCCACAAAAAGTCCACCCACTTGCAAAATCTTCACCAATGTCACATTTATCAAATGCAACTATTTTCTCCTGAAAAGATTCCCCCTATATATTCATACTGATTTCTCCCTCATATTTCCTTTGGATCTTTGCTCAAGTTTCACTCTATCATTCAGGTCTTCTATCACTGCCCCATATGAAGAGCTCCCCTATCCCCAATTCCAATCCCCCTTAACTTGCTTTATTTTCTTAATTGTACTCTGACACCATCTGACACCTTGTGTTTTTATTTAGTGTCTGTTTTCCCTTCACTAGACTGAAAGTTCCACAAGATTGGGCAGGCACCTATCTATTTTTTCACTGTGGAAGCCCAATCACCCAGAACAGTATCTGCCATGTAAGTCCCATACCGGATTACTAAATGACCTGTAGTGACATAGCATACTCAAGTGTATGTCTGATCACAAACTCAACAGAAGAAAATTATTAATTTTTTAAGGCTTTGATCATATGATCGTGTTGAGTTTTTTAAGCTGGAAGATGATTCACTGACTATTGCTTAAGAGTTTCTATTTAGGGGCACCTGGGTGCTCCATTGGTTAAATATTTGTCTTTGGCTCAGGTCATGATCCCAGGGCCCTGGGATTGTGCCCTGTGTTGGGCTCCCTGCTCAGCAAGGAGTCTGCTTCTCCCTCTCCCCTCCTGCCCCCCAACCTTGGCTCTTTCTCTTTTTTTCTCTCTCTAATAAATAAAATTTTTTTTTAAAAGATTCTGTATTTAATTATTCCTAATGCCATTTATTCAGCTATCCTCTCTCTACTTCACACTCCAGGTTTGTAATACTGGGGCAGGGGCTCTGGAAACTCTGCTTCCTTTACCAGCTTGCTTTCTGGTGGTTTCTGTCAATAGAAGTCCCTGGAAGAAGAGTGGAAGGCAGGACTAGAGGCAAAGAGACTTGATCTTCTCTGTTTGCTTCCTGTTCCTACCAGCATCCTTCCAGCATTAATAGCCCTTTCCATTGTCTTCAGCAGTTGTTTCCAGCCTCCCACTTTTACACTCTAAGAACCAGACTCATCCTACTTCTGCAGAGGTACCAGCACTGGCCAGGTTGTGTCACTTCTCAGAGGTTTGAGCCCTCACTCCGCAAGAACCCTAACCTGTGAGCTTCTGAGCTCTCATAACCCAACCCTTTCCCTTCGTTTATCTGGCTTTAAAGGTGGCAATGGCTCCTTATAGTTTACATCGCAGGAGATTACCTCAGTGTTCCTCTTTTTGGTGTGGAGACTCCCTCCAAAACCCTGTGTAAAAATACCTATTATTAAATTCCCTCAGTAACATAGTATGCTTCCTGTGTTCCTG